GACAGCCTGTGTGTCCCTCAGTACAACAAGGACGGYGAGGAGAGGGTGATCCTGTTTTTGAAGATGGCATCCAACCACACGTTCAGCCCCAGGCTGGTGAAGCGCATCCAGGACGCCATCCGCGTGGCGCTGTCCGCCCGCCACGTCCCCAGCCTCATCCTGGAGACCAAAGGCATTCCTGTACGTAGGGCAGCAGAAATGCTGCCTACTGTTTTCTTTGGCACCTTGAATAGTAATTAAGGAGCAGTTGTCACTGCTCTTCAAACCCACATACGTGGAAATTTTAGCATCTCAAAAGTGTATTCGAGCTTTATAAATAGTTTGTCTATGTTGCCTAGCAACATCTTTTCATCTCCTTTTCAGCTAAGCGGTGGTTTTTGTTTTTTAAATGGGTTGCATTTTCTCAATAAGACGTACTTAAACCTCTTAAAAGAAAATACTGAAAAGGTAATTTAACTTTAGCTTTTCTGGCTATCCATGAGCATATTTTGTTTTTGTTTTCCTGTTACAAGTGACATTCTTAGGAAAGCTGAGAGCACTCARCAAATTCAGAAAATAATTTCGTAAACCATTTTACTTTTACATCTGTTTAGCCACTTAAATGTARCTCTGTCAATGTCTTAAGTGTAACAGTAATTAAAATGAAGTTGTTGTGCTTATACAGGGGGAGAAATTTGTATAGCTAAAGGTTCTGCATGCTCAGTCTTTGGAAGCAATGTTCTGCTGGAGCTCTTTGTAGGAATTGTTTCATTGGAATGTCTGTTTTTATGCTCCTTTCTGATGCTACAGTCTCTTCCATGCTTCTGAGCAGCAGAAAGGCAGTGCACAGTGTAGTTTTCCCAAGTCCATTTGCACACAGACTTGATTGTGTCCAGAGAAGAGAGTTCAGAGCCATCATTTGATGCTGGAACCCCTTTACTGCCAGTGTAGGTTTTCAGGTGGAAGTGCTATAGGGTTCAGGTTTGCTCTCTGGTCCACAGAGGGATCTGACCTTTTGAGTTACTTTTGTTTCAGGATGCTGTTGGCAGATGATCCTTGGCTCGAAATGTTATCTTTGAGTGTAAAAATCCCTGCATCTCCCATTTTCTGGGCTGCAGCTCAGCTTCTGCATGGGGTGTTGAACTTGACCTGTGAATCACCTGAGTGTGCAGCAGGAGGTGTTTGTGAGGGGCTGCCCCTCACCAGAGCCTGCTTAGATCATTAATTAGTTCACACATTGACTGAACTGAGRGTTGAGTGAATTTTAATTACCTTTCACATAAATGTGCCAGTGGTGAAGTGATCAAAGCTGTCTCCCATCTTTCTTTCAAAGTTTTGCTTGGAAGGGAAACTGCCAATTTTCTGCTTCTTTTAGAAATGTTTGAATCTTCATATGAAAATACAGTCTGATCCTGGTGCTGTAGTCTGGTACAGCTGTGCTGAGGTGATTTAGTAACACAAAGCATGGCTTTAATGGCATATTCAGGTGTTAAAAAACATCCTGTGARTCTGTCTGCTTCTGTCCTGACCAGATAAACATTCTGGTCATCATCCACAGGGTTTGCTGATTAAAGTCAACTGATTTACTTCTAGCAGCCTGATCTTTCCTTAAAGGAGGCAGTTCCCTTGCAGGCCACTGGACTGTTCTGGTGAAAATGAGGTTGTTAATTGTAGAGCAGAGATAGAAGTGATGAAGGTGGCTCAGGAGGGTGGGGTTACACATGACTGCAGTAGATCTGACAAGAAAGAGTTTGGTTTTTGTACAAAATAATATTGCAAGAGTGTGTTGGGGATAATTTAATCTGACTCTGAAGGATCTCCAGTGAACAAATGGTGGTGCCTGGAGCTCAGGAGTTTGGGCCTGGGCTGTTCCTGCTGGAGCAGATCTTCCTCACTGTGTCACAAATCACAGGGCTCTGATCCCAGGTGAAGAATTTGAGGTTTTTTTTTTTTTTTTGCAGTGTCCTTATTTTAAGTCAAGCAATGTAATAGAATTTGTGTGATTCATAAGTGGAGGTGAAGCCTTTGTTGGTTACACTTTATTTTATTTTACGGTTTGTTTTGAAACATTTCCCTATAAAGGACCATTTAAGCCCAGATTTTCACTTCACCCCTTTAGGAAAACTGTCCATTTAAGATAAGAAAATCATGGTTTTCTTCTTGCAAAGCCCAGTGCAGTTGGGCTGTGCTTTTTGAGCCCACCCTTAAAAAATTAAAGTTTGTTTGAAAATTGGATGTGCCAGAACATAAAAACCAAGTATTTTCTGTGTTTATACCATGATTCTGATCTGGTTTTGTTGTTTTACATTGGAGCTCAGTCATGTTCTCACAGAATTGCCAGTAGGAGTAATAAACTGACACAAACTCTTTGAATACACAAACTCTTTGAATTCTACCTACTCTTCAAGTGATTTTCAGAAGAAACTGCTTCAAGTGTAACAAAAGAGAGAGAAGGCATTCTGCTGGATTTTGATAGAGTTCTGGAACTGGTGGTGGGGGGTTCATAAATATTTTCCAAAAGCTACTGCATGAAAAAAAATGTAATTTTATCTTTGCTGGTTTTGTTTTTCAGTATACAGTAAATGGGAAGAAAGTGGAAGTAGCTGTGAAGCAAATAATCGCAGGGAAAGAAGTTGAGCAGCGGGGAGCTTTCTCAAACCCAGAGGCTTTGGACCTGTACCAAAATATTCCTGAGCTTCAAGACTATTAAAGTCACTTGTTTGGAGGTTTTTTGTTTTTTTTTTTCTGTGTGTCTTTGTTCTGTATTTGTTTTGTATATACCAATACTGTATGTAAAGAAAAAGCTCTATTTAATACCAGTGGTTCTTTTAAAAGAAAAAAATTCTCCATGAAGTGCATTATGAAAGGCTTGGGTAAAGCTTAGCTCCCTTTTATTGGTTCAATATGCCATATATTTTGGAGTTTTTTTCCAGCCTGGAAGGAGAAACCTGCCTGTTTTGATTTTTATATCTATMTATATATATATATGAGTGCACCTTTTCAGATTAGATTTACAGCAGCTGCCCATCAAATGGGAGCACCCATAGTTGCAGATAGAYTATTTCTTCCATGAAATGTTTGCTTTCTTTTTTTAAACTGGACCTTTAGCAACGTTTTTCAATCCATGTGTTTCACACCCTGCAAGGAATCCACAGTGATTTTAACCCTTTGACCCTGAAACATGCAAGTSTTCTCCATGTAGTGTGCATTAAAATGTTTTTATAAAGCCAAATCATAATGCACTGAACCCATTCGACTTGACTCCGAATTATTTCACTCTTGAAATGTCTCATGGTACCTTTGAGGGTAATTGCTGCTTCATTTTGGGATGTAGCCTTCTCATTGTTTTAAGCTGTTTGTTGAGAGACTTCTGGAGGCTCAGGAGGTGAGGGAGCTTCTGCCTCCTCCTTATTCCTGGGGTAACTCCAGGTTATTTCCATGGAATTTGCTGTCATTAACATAATTACACTTGAAGAAACCATTTTGCTTTTACTTGGTTGAAGTCCTTAACTGGCCCTGAGGTTAGCTGAGGAATTCCAGTGTGTTTCTTTCTTAAAAGCTGATGGGTTTTGTAACTTTTTTTACTAAATGTCACATTGGAAGTGAGAGACACCTTTTCTAGGTCTGTAATCCTCCAGTTTATAAAGGGAAAATGCTGTAATGAGCTAACTAAAAACAGTGAAATGGAAGCACTAAAATTTGTTTTTCATCAAATGCAGTTACAGTAGCTGTACCAACCCTCTGGCATTCAGTGTCTCCTGCACTATTTGAATTTTGTGGGTGAAATATTATTGTACTTAACAATTGTGTTGGATGCATTCAGCGTTGATAAAGAGTCAATTAAAAGGAATCAATTCTTTATATATATAATTATATATTACATCTTTCAGCTTTCCTGTCTTTATTTTCCTTTCAACTGGGTGTCGTGAAATAATTTTTAGCTCAGTTTATTTCTGATTTTGATGGTTTTAATCCAAATCCAGCTGAGTATAAACCTTTCTGTGACAGTTTTAATCCTCATTTCTTATACAGGGCCCAAGACAAGTGGGATGTATGTACTGAGAAGGTCACAGGTGATGAGGAGTGGGGGAAAATTGCTGAAAAAGTGCTTTGTGATGTGTTCCTGTGGCTCAGGAGACAAACCTGAGCATGGGGAGCTTTGTGCTCCATTGCTGAGGGCAAACCCCCGGTTTGGCAGCTGCTGAAAGTTCATTATTTATCAAATCTTTTCCCCATCTCTAACACCTCTTGGCTCACTGGCTCCAATAAGCTGCAGGTTGTTGTAAAATAAATAAAATACTGTGATTTGGCAAGAGAAAAACTGCCAGAAATGCAGCTGGATCAGCACAGGGCAGTGGACACCAATCCACTCCTCCTGCACGAGSTAGAAATTCCTCTTTAGCAAATCAGCTTGAAATGTGCTGGTGCTTTCCACACTGCACCAAATCCAGACCATGCTGCTGTGATAATAGAAATACCCAGCACCCATTAGAAAAGTATAAAAAGGAGCTATCAAGCTGCCAATAACCTATGATTAAAACTACTTTTAAATTCCTTCCCCCTCTGGCTTGCTATATATAAATTTTGCATTAACTGTGACTTTGTATTCATTAAAACTTCATTATATTGTTCTTTAATTCATGCAAAATGTCTGGAGTTTACAAAGCCCACAGATCCTTATTAATAAGTAATTTTGGGTTATTTCATTAATTAAAGATAGTTTAGAAGCACAGATACATTAAGAACACATACAAATGCCTGGAGGCTGCTTTTTTTAAATCCTTTATCATGCTGGAAACACTGGAAAAAGTTTCATTAATGGATAGAATTTGATCTGTTGTAATTGTCAGATGTTGCAAAGCTTTTCCAAAGCTTTAGTTACCGAAAGAAGTATTTTATTTTTGTTTGTATTGCTCTGAAAATTACAGCCATGAAAATTAAAGCCCTGATGGGTGCTGCAACCTGTCCTGGTGCCCTCATTTTAGTTGAGGGTCTGAGTTTTGGAAGTGCTGGATGTTGCAGCTGCTGGAAACCAGAGGTGAGGAGAGGTGGAACTATTGAACTGTTTTACCTTGAGTGCATAGCCCTCTTTTCTTTTTTTCCTNAACAAGTTGCTGCTGAGCAGAGCAGGTATTTTGACCTAATAGCAGAAATTGCACCTCTCGATGGGCACAGGAAATGATGGGGGACTGGAATCCAAGGGGATGACAAATAAGAATGAGAATAACAAACAATTATGACTGTTTAAAGAAAAAAAAATAACAACAAACTAAGAAACAATTCTGCCTCACACCTCACAGCACTGACCCTTCCAGTTTCCTTTGCTGCTTCCCTCCTCAGTAGACCATCATTCTGTTTCTCATCAATTGCCCCATCATGAGAAGGCAATATCTTTTTTCTTTTTTTTTTTTTTTTTTGCCTATTTTTAGTTGGAGGTTCACAGTGTTTTGCCTGGAAAGCTCCGTGTGCAGATTTTAGTGGGATGTGTGGCATGCAAATAGAGCTGGCTCTGGGAATGGCTTTAAGCTCTGCCTTAAACGTTCAGCCCCAAAGCAATTAGAGCAAAGGATCTCCAGGCTGGCTGCATTTCTCACTCAGTCCTCTGCAAATTTGAGAGTGACTCTTGAATTATGGGATGGAATCAGCCCATTCGCCCTTGGGAGATGTGGTTTTATCACTCCCCTCTTAGAAATGTGCTTTTGTCAGCTCCTGTTAGAGCAGGTACTTCCCCCTCCCACTGCCTTATGATTTCAATTAATTTCCCTGGTTAGTGGTGGTTCTCAAGGAAATAAAATGAGCAGGTACACAGCAGCCCGAGCAGGGCACAGCTGATAAAATTGTTTATTGTTATGTGCAAGAGAAATGGGTTGTGTGAATTACTTATTCAGTGAYTTTAAAAACACAGGTAATTGCCTGATGGAAGGCAACTTCCCTGGGGCCATTATTGTCTTTCAGTTTAGTGCATACATATTTAAAAGTATTTCATTTATGAGCAGAGCAGTCAGGTGAACAGGTGTTAAAACTGGGTTTAAAATGCATTAGGAGGGAGTATCAGGGTCTGAGATGGTTCTTGAGACAGAACTTGTAGGGTTTTGGTTTGGGGCAGCCTGGAGCCTGTAAGGAATGCTCTGGCCMAGCTTTAAACCCCTGATCAGAGATGTTTCAGTAGATCAAGGCTTTGTTCCTTCCTACAGGTGACCTCTGGAGCTCTGCACTGAGCAATTTCTCCACTGCAATCTYGCAGCTTGTTTGTGGTTTGCTGAGGTGCCAGTCTGCTGTCTGGGTCTTGTCCTACAAAACAGAGCATAAATCCAAWATTGCCTGGTTCTTCTTTCTCCCTTCAGCAGTGTGGGGGTATTTTTAGCTCATTTATAACCAGCTCTTAGGTAGCAACAAGATGTATCTTCATTTTCTTCTGCGTCTTTTGTAGGAATAGGGAGCTGTGTGTCCTGACCGTGTTCTCCAGACACAAAATGGGGAGAGGAGATGCTGAGGGCAGCACAGGCATTGTCCTCTCTGGGACTCAGGGGCCTCTTTAGACTCAAATAACGAGATAATCAACATCAAACGGAGCATTATGATCTGTGTGCAAAGCAGGAGTTACTCACAGGAGAGGGAAGCAAATTCTGGTGGGGAGGCCAAGAGCAACTCAGAGCAATTTCACTGCAGAACTTTGGGACATCTCCTTGAGTTCCTGCAGCACCTCCAGCTCTCCACACCATTCCTCACCTCAGAGAGAGAAATTCCTCCAAATCCCCATCTGGGGATGAACCAGAGGATGGGAAAATCCTCCCCATGCCACTGTTGAATGAGTTGTGCAGCACATTAGTGAGAGCTTAATTGGACCTTGTACTTCTTAATTGGAAGACCTTGACGAATTCCTGTCCTGCTACTTTTGACGAGTGGTTTTGCAAAGTTCAAGAGGTTCATCAGCATTCASCCTGAGATTCCAGCTGAAGGGATAACATCCCTTGGAAAAAAAAAACCATTGTGTCCAGGATTGTTAATTAGTTTACAATATCATATTAAAATATACATCATTAATGTGAGCAGGTTCACATCACTAATGAGGAATATGCTCAAAAAAAAAAAATCCCCTTTCCAGTTTTGTTCTGTGGATTTAAAGGAAGTTTAGTCTGCTGAAGGATGACAGGCCCACTGGGGCAGATATTTGCAGAATTATGGAATAGTTGAGTTGGAAAGGACCTTTAAAGATCACCCCGTTCCACCCCTGTTTTCTGTTTTTGTTTTACAAAGGGATTGTTTTTAGCATTTCCAGTCTATTGATCAACAGCCTGTGTTTTGATAAGGAGCAGGAGAGTATTTCTCCTAATCTTCTATTAGCTATGAAGAGATTAAAGCTAAATGGAAATAAATAGTGAAGAAATGGGAAAGAAAAAGATGAGAATTTGTGCTGATTTGACTGACTCGGTTTGAAAGGTGAGCTGAGTTTAAAGCAGTGTCACTTCAACCCCTGCCAGAGCCAAAGGAGGTGGCCTTGAGTGTACAAATGTGATACTCAKCTGAGAATTTTAATTTGTCTGGTTCTCATGTATAATAAAACCYGCTAGATACATGACACTTCATGAATTAATGCAGGAGTATAAAGCAGAGGCGAGGTTTTTGTACAGGGTTTGTTCTTACCATGCAAATGCCAAGCAAGGYTTTAAACGGCCCTGGCTATCAGGAATCCTGGAGCCTATTTCACGCTTCACTTCAGGGTTTGTTCCTGTTCCTCAGGACCAGGATTAGGGGGAAATGAGGATGGGAATGGCTGATCCAGCCTAAGCCCAGGTGCAGTGCTGTGTGTGTGGGGTTTTAACAGGGGCACAGCTCAGCCTGGCAGCCCCAAAAAAACCTCAACCCAAGGCTGATGGAAAGGTGATGGAGCATCAGAGAGCTCCAGCTCTCACTGATACCAGGATCTGATCACTCCCCTGGTGAAAGCTGYAATTACATTAAGAGGACAGCTGCTTCTAATGGCATAAAAATATTGAGACATGCCTGCAAAAAACAGAGGTTTTCTCCTAATGCAGCTCAAATTAAAACTGGGTAGGGAATAGAGATTTTGATGGCTCATAAAAATAATTTTTTTTTCTCCCTGAGTCAGTGTATTATGTGAATCTTTGTGGAAGCAAAGCAGCTCTGTGAAGGGGAGAAGGAACATTTCCCTTGCTGGTTATGGGCACTGAGTGGGATCAGGGCTGAGATGTTCAATATTTCCAGGGCTGTTTCTGCTCCTGGACAACGTGTGCCTCAATCCTGCCCTGTGCATGGGGCCTTTGGCACCACGGGCTCCTTCTGACACCCAAAAATTGCTCTCAGAGCACCAGAACCACTGGGAACCTCCAGACATCCAGCAGAAAACGCTGAACCCATTTCCTCCCTCGTTTAAGAGTTTCTGCCTTTATTCCCTGATGCAAAACCTCAGTCACCACTGAATTCTAGATGAAATAATTACTTTCATGTACAAACAAGAGGAAAAKAAGTTTTTAAGCAGTGTGGAGTCTGATGTGACAATTCTGTCAGGTTTTGGTGGGTACCTGCTTGACCTGTAAATTGAAACTCAAAAAAGTCGTTCTCTGTCTTATCACGGTATTTAATTTTCTGTGCTGCAGCAGCAGGGGGTGARAGGGAGCTGGAATGGCTTTATTCAGATCTATATAGGAATTGAGTGAGACAAAAATAACTCAGTTTTTAAAAAATGGCTCTAATCAGGCAGAGAGCATTGTTTTTTTGTTCTTCCCCACTTCAGCCTCCCTGGCTCCTGSTCCAGGTTCCTGCACTGACAGGACAGAGCAGCTCGCTGGGGTTTGGGAGCTCCTCTGCCTGCCCCACGCTTGTTTTGCACTTTTAGGATTAGAAACCTCAATGG